GGGGGGCGGGGGGGAAACCTGTGAAGAGGCAGCTGCCAGTGCCGTGCCGAAACGCAGGGCTCCCCGTCGCCCCCATCCCGGCATCTCTGCCCTGATAATCCGAGGCACACCTGAACTTGCTGCCCTGAGCTGAGATCTGCTCTCTTTTGCGGTGTTTTATTATTTTTCCAGTCCAAGGGACACCATAAAAACACCCTTATGCATTAAAATAAAACTGAAAAACCCAACAGAATTTCTGTAAGCGTCTTTCCAGCAATCCCCAAAGAAAACCTCTCTGGGTCTAATCCGATGATCTGATTCCGTACACCGATATGCACATTTAACTTAATTACTGCTGTCTTTAGCTGATCTTTCTTCATTCCAAATTTATCCCTCATCATTGTACCACATAAGCTGATGTCCCTGTCCGAGTTTGTTTAAGCGGGCCGCCCCGCGCCGTCACTGAGCTCGGCGCTGAGGCTGCAGCACGCGTCGAGCGTGTGTGAGCGCTGCTAGATGACAGGATCCTGAGCCCTGGCTCGGGGTTTTGATTCATCTGAACTGAAACCATGAGCGTACCGATAATTTCGGAGCGCGTTCTGCTGCTGTTCCATCGTGCATCATCCCTGCTTTGGTATTTGCTGTACGCGCTTCCTGGCTGAAGGGGCTGGATCAGGCGTTCTTCTCAGGGCTGTTGCCAAGTCAGTTCGTTCTCTTATCCGAGTAGTTTCCAGCTTCCTATTTACACTTTTTGGCTTGCCGTTGTGATTTAGTGGGATATTATCTGCTCTTGAATTCTCCCAAAGAAAAATGTTTCTTCCCATGGAGGGCTTCTAGCGGTTGCCAGTCAACTCCTGTCGTCAGAATGATGATTATGTTATTTTGTACCGCCTAGTTGTTCCTGAGAAAATAATTGACGAGTGAGAGGTTGCTAGGTTGTAGCTGAAGTTAATTAATACATCTGCTTGCTGGGGCTTGTAACACTCATGGGGCTGTGGAAGGTGAGAGCTGGGAGAAACATGGAATGGAAAGACGATCAGCAGAGCAAAACAATATGCAGATATGACAAAAAAAATGGGCAACGAGAAATACAGGACAAGAAAGGGAGCGGGTGGCCCAGCCTAGTGGGAGCTCTTCCTATGCTCCTAAGAAGCCCTGTTAAGAGGCTGGTTTGTATGCAAAGCTGCAGGGTTTTTAACCTCTCTTTAGAGCTTTCTGCTAACATCCCTTCTTTGTGGGAATCTGTTGCCTTTACCTTCAAGGGTGGTCTGACTCCTGCATGTCTAATTACTCTCTGAAAAATCCATTTCATATGTTTCAGACCTGAAGAAAGATTTTGTGCCAAAAGCTTGTCTGCAGTTCCCAGCTATGCCTGTGTTGGCCTAACTACCCCTGCAGGCCTTCTCCTTGTAATTTTGCAATGATGAAAGCTACACAATATCCATCCAACTTTGGTGAAGTTTTATTGGTATTGAAAGGTACTCATTATTTATAGATACTCTGCTATTTCCATATGGAAGAAGAAACAGACTGTGTAAGACATCAATACACCAGAAGAGCTACATCCATGCTGGGGGCTATTTGCTGCTGCTTCTTCCAAGGCTGGCGTTTCCCCCTGCCCACTGCCACCACCCTGGGGACCCTAGCTTCTCTTGCCATCCTGGTCGCTCATCTCAGGGCCGCAAACAGCTCCTCCAGAGCCCATGTCTTGTTCTACTTCTGGAGCAACCGCTACCCTCACCTTCCTAATCTTGACCAGGTCTGGAGTTCAGTTAAATGTTGGGTTTGTTATCTAGCCACCTGAATAGATAAGCAAACCTATGGCAGAGGAAGTTCTAGGCTGTACACAGGGATCAAACAGCAAGTAGTTACCTGACTGGTTTAAGCTAACCTAACTCCACAGTGTGGTGGATAGAGGCAGTTTTGCCCTCCTGTTTGGCTGCATGCTGCCGCTCCCACCTGGTTTTGGGAGCTGGTCCATCTGGAAAGTAGGGGGTTTTTTAATTTTTTTACAAGGTTACTTATGAGATCGGACAGGTCCTGCATCCTGTAGAACACGTGGCTGTACAAATGCGAGCACTGTTACTGAATCCAAAGGCTCTGAGTTACATCTGCCTCTAATCACTCCCATATGCATTCTTTCATATGTTCTGCTATTCATTATCGTTTCCTATCATATGCTAATTGATTCATTACTTTATGCTAAGCGTACAGTCACGTGCTAGTCATTAGCGGTCCCATATGTTGAACTCATGATATGTATCTTTAAATGCCGTACCTCCTGGTCTGCCAATCCTCCTTTATGTAATACCACACATAAGTTGCAGACCTTCATTCATGCTTTGATGGACTCTAAACTTCCTCCTCGTTAGCCTTGTATGTAATTCTTCAGTTACTCTCTGGAGCTCCTCCTTATTGAAGTTGTGTAACGCCTGTAATTAGAGCTGCTGATATGTGGATCTGTGCTTTAGCCTGTGGTAATACAACGTGTTTGAAAGGGGAAGGAAAGAATTTTGAAACATCCCGTGACATATTTAAAACATCCAGCATAGTAATGTCAGTATAAACCCCATGTTCAGGGGAAGTTAGGTTAGACCACAGAAGTTTTGCATGAGTTAAAACTCCGTAACTGGCTCAGAAAACGTGACTCTGGAAAAGACAACGTATCTGGGAGGAGGCCAAGTGAGTTCCTGAAGTCTTGCTGGTGAGGAAGTTAACTGGTCAGAAGACACAAGTGGGAAAGTATGGAAAGAAGAGTGTATCATTCTTGCAATCCCAAGCTGCAGAATTTCAGAATGAAGAATTTAAGGACTCTAGAGCTGCATTGAATTTTTACGTTTTATAGGAAGACGACAGACTACTTACAATATTACTACTTACACATAGCATGCCCCAAGATTTGCCAGAAACAGGTTGAATTGAACACACTCGAGTGCGAAAAAAATTAGTTACTGATTTCTGCAGAGTTATTTCTACTTTACGACTGAGGTGAATGAGTATAGAATTTGATCCTTTGTACCCGTGGTCCCGCTGTGACACAGTTTTCGGTTCTGTCATGGTCTGTGAATGCCCAACATCAGCATGAGGATCTGTAGAATTCAGACCATCCTCATTTCGTACACACTTCATTGCAGGAACTACTGGCCTGGGGGAAAATAGCTGCATCATCCCAGACTTTTATCTTCCAAGCCCTGAATGAAGCAGCTGAAAGTCCTGCTGCATGTAGATAAGAAACGGCAAGTAAAGAGGCTGGGAAATAAGATCTGGGTAAAAAGGGACTCTCCAAGGAAAAGCTAGTACTTAAGCACAGTGTGTGTTGTGGGCGAGGAAGCAATCCCTGTGGGAAGGGAGACAAATAGTCTTGAGTAAGAGCTTGTGTAACACCTGGCCTGGGCTGTCCTAGTGGCTGCTTTCTGCATACCGCCTGCCCGGGGGAAGCCAGGCAGAGAGTGATTTTTTCCGCTTGCAACTGCCGAAAGCTCCCAATTTCCTGAGCACGGACTGAGCCTGCGGCATAAACCCTAGGGATGCAGCTGGGCGGACAGGGGCACCGCTGATGTCCCAGCGCCTGCGAGCCATTGCCCGACTGGGCTGTGGGTAGCGCCCGGCTGGGGTGACCGCTGCGTGGGCTTAACCGGGGTCTTGCACGGGGCCCCAGGGAGGTGTCAGCCCCTCGGGAGCCATGTGCAGCTTTCTGGCTCTTCCCTAGGCGAAAGCTCCCAGCCCCAGTGCCTGCACCAGCCTTTCCCCGGCTGCAGCTGCTTCTGGCTACAGCCCGCCCCTATAGTGTCCTTATTGGATTCCTGGCCAAGGGGGTGTTGCTGCAATGATAGCAGCGGGGCGAGCGGCGCATTGATATGCTGGAGCTGCAGAGCGTTGTATAAGAAGGAGCTGCAGGGAGCGAAGGAGAATTAAACAGGATCACGTTTCTCCTCTGTGAGCTGAAGAGGTTAGTGACTATTACTTAATCCCTGCTAACTGTAATTAGGATTTGGAAGCACCGCTTTCGTCTTCTGACCCCCCCTCCACCCTTCCCAAGATTGCTCGCCACCAGCGTTTCCCCCTCGGTTGTGGAGGAGTGGGGAAGCCCTGCAAGTCACGTTGCCCCAGCAGCTCCAAAGACACCCACCACACTGGAGGGGACAGGCCAGCGCTCCGGCAGCGGGGCAACAGAGAGGAAGAAAAAAAGAGAAAAGCCCTTTCTTTGGGAGAATGTCCAAGGTGCAGCGGAGCAGAGCGTTAGCTTGTAAGCCATGTGGAGTAGCCAAGTAGCATCATTGGGTGCCCAGAGCGCTGCATGGGGAGAGTGTGAGAGGTCATTTAAAACCTTCCCTACAAAGCGTCTTCTGGGCTTGTTTTTTAGAAAGGCTGAGCTTCCTCCAGATCCTGTTAAAATCCAGGTTTACTGCAGGTGTTTGACACTCCCTTCTGAAACAGAAGACCATTAACCTTGCCGTACCTCAGTTTACCTGTGTGTAAAGTGGAGATGAGAATATTTTCCTTTTGTAAAGGAACCTGGTGGGGCCGTATTGCAGACAGCCTTTGGCGGGAGAAAGGTGATTCTGATGTTCTCAGATACAGTACAGAATCCGTGTGTAAAACATATTGACACTTTATTTATAATTACTTTGTGCTCTAGTCGCAGCTACCACCAATCCCTAACTGTCTTTAAAAAAAAAAAAACAACCATATATCAAAGATCAGTCTACACACAAAGACAGGCTCAGCCTTTATATAACTCTCCTGGCATCGTGTTGAACTTCTGTATTGGAGCTTGTTCAAAAAAACCAAGCTAGTGTTAATTAGGGCAACAGTTTATTGAACTGGTTTTGTGTGAAATCATTTTTATCAAACTCCTTGCACTGGCTTGCCAAATTATTTTTTCCGGAATGAGGATAGTCGTTCAGCTGTTGGTTCTCTGGTTACAGATGCAAACATAGAATGACACCGTGCCAGTAATTGATAACATAGTGTTTGAGCATCTTTCTGTCACTTGTGTTGATAAATGGGAAAATAAAGACAAATCTGTTTCATTAATATAAATCCAACTTGAAGTTTAATCTTCACAAAATAAAGAGTAATAGGTAAATATTTTAAATTATTTTCAGCATGTATAAGAAAGCCTTAGTTAAAGTCTTACTAAAAACTGCTGTCACAAGCAGTGCATGCAACTTAGTTATTCAATAACTGATAGTAAAATATTAATGACTGATATGATTCTTACCATTGGATCAGGGAACTTCCCTTACACTGGAAGGCTTATGATTCTGGACTTGTCCTCCTGAGTTTACATGCATGTGGTCAACAAACTTTTTTTCTAATACCAACCTCACAGTTTCTTTAGACAGTGAATTGTTTGTGAGCAATTAGAGTTAAAGTCAATGAAGTATGGTTTGTATTATCCTTAAAGGAATGGCAATGCTTATTTTGTATGGCTAAAAAGGAGAATCCATCTTTGTAGTTTTCAACTTCTTCTTTTTAGTGTCCTCATTATTTTCCAAATTGTAGTTCTAACTGGATGTTTCAACACCCACCCCCCACCCCCAAAAAAAACCCCAACTACCCCAGAAGACCACCACATTCAGCTCTGAGAGACTTCATTTTAAATGTCAAAGCACCAGACTACTTTCCCCCCTCCCCCCCAAATGAAGGGTGTCTGCTGTATCCACAGGCTTTAGAAACTGAGCTTAGCGGATGAGAATAGGATAAGAAAAGGGCCACTTTGATCTCTGCATTAAAAATGAACTGTCCTTGTCAAAACAAGTGAAGATGAATTGATAAATTTATTGACCGGTTTTGGAATTAAAACTGGAATCACTTCTCATCTTGCACTTGGGTGTCAGGACTTCAGTGAGATGCAGGAGTGGAATGCACATTGACATTTTTGCTTTGTAATGATGACTCTGAAGTCACCGCAGTTTCATATGGCTTGTGGAGAGGATATTGCGCTGTATGTTGTGCAGATTTGTTGTAGGAAGCTTCAGTGGGTGTTTTCCATTACCACTGGTGTCTGTCTGCGCTGCCATCCTTGGCTAGGTAAGCACCAGTCAGGCAACAGGAGATAAAAACAAGCCAAAACTGGAAAGAAGTGGAGAAGCTAACAGAAAGAGCTTGGATAGCTGTGATAAAGCAGTGTTTGCAATGGGAGAATAACTCCCCAGGTAAGGAGTTCCTGTGTTTGACACAGTGGTACAGCAGCATCAACATATGTGGGACTGGGGATAACTCCTTCCTCTAATTTTCAGGCAACCGTAGACCTTTCTGAGGCTTGCGGGTAGTGCTCAGTGTAGTAAAAGAACTTACATTATGCTTGTACTGCACTTTATTAAGTGAGGTGTCAAAAAGGTTACTTCACTGAGAGGGGAGGGAAAGGGGTTTAGGGAAGAAAAACCATCTGAAAGCCAAGGCACTTAGCAGCTTAATCCTGTAGTTTAAAAAACAAACAAACAAACAAAAACAAAACAAAAAAACCCAAACCAAAACAAACCAAAAAACCCAAAACCAAAACAAACCTGGAATGTATACATGCCCTTGTAACTTAGTAGACAAAGGTTGCTGAGGGCCTGCCCCTCTCCTCTGGAGTTAGCCTTGAACTGTGGAAAGTGTCCTTACGCATGTAAGGCCAAACTGTTGGGCTTACATCTTGAAACACTTGTAAAATAAGTGCAATTGTAATAAAAATATAAATCTACATTTGACCTGTTTCTTCTCTACTAAACAAAAAGAGCTTTGACGTTTTGTTTAACTGTACTTAAGCGTTCCCTAGCCTAATGTTTGCAACCCAGACAGAGCTCTACTGTGCTAATTAGAAAGCATTGCAGAAAACACACCTGACTGGGAAAGATAATGAAATACATTTGCTAATCCTGTTATTCCAGATGAGTGCAATCTACCACTTCAACAAGTTCAACAGTTAGCATAAAAGAAGTTTCTCTTTTTTTTTTTTTTCCTTCCTTCTTCTTAGTACAGCATTATAAACCAGTTAGACCCTGTTTGGGGCAAGTAGCGTTCATGTTATATTACAGTGACTATCCTAAATGATAAATTAAAGGCTGCACTACACTGGCTAACAAAAGCAAGCCATTCTCATGGCTCAAGTAATGTTACTGTGTTTGTTAGCTTTCCCTCTTAGTGAAATGTGTGGGCAGAAAGGGATCTTTATTGTCTTGTTGTTACCTTTGTTCCATGAATGAGAGGAGAGGAAAGCTGCCAGAAAGAATATGGAATTATTAAATAATCCCATAAGCCCTAAATAAGAGAAAAAAGTAGTACGGGATGTGAGAGGAAAAGTTGAGACCACAATCATTCTAGCTGAAATGCCATGGATGTTTTTTAGCTACACTAGAAGCTATAAAGCTTTGTGAACCTTTCTGTTGCTAGGGAGAACAGCCCTTATTCAGTATTTACTGTCTCTTGCAGGCTCTCACACAGATTAGCAACAGAAGACTGGTTAGTCTGTTGTTTGGTGATGAATTTAGAGACCGCGGTGGCTTGCTTGTACTTGTCTTTGGAGTAATTTGCTATTTTTTCTCAGGCATAGCACAATTGCGTGCAGCTGGAAGTGGGATCAGCGTGTTTCTATAGATCTCTCTAGCTTTAGTCTTGGGGACAGATACAAATATATAAAGGACTGAGATTTTTTTTTTTTTGTCCCCATTAAATCAGATTCATAAAATTTGGATGGAGAAGGCAAATTAACTCCTGACTTCTGTCTTCTTCTAAAGCTATGATTCACTAGTGGCAAAAATCTGTGAGGAACTTGCAGGAAAGGATAAAGATAGATTCTGTACTGGTGACAATTCACTGTTAAGTGATGAGGCTATAAACTGGAATGGTGCACTTTTGCATTGGAGGTGACCATGGGCTTTGTCCGCTTTCATTCTTGGTGTCCAATGTAGGACAGAATAGGCCTGGTTTTTACATTATTACGGAGTACTTGAATTTGCAGTCTAAGTAACCTGGCGTGCAGTCTGTTAGAAGCAGCCCCGAGATGTCTTAGCTTCGTCATCCAGGAGTCAGGATAACCAGTACTGGTGGCTGCTGGAAATGTTTGCTCTGGGAAACGTGTTTTCTGTTTGGACCTTGTAATCTTCTCAAATGGCAACAGCTGAGCAAAACTTTGTTTGTGAAATCTATTTTACGTTTACTTACTTGCATAGTAAAGTGGAATAGCTGTCCTTGCACTTAGCCCAGTATTTAGAAAGATAAGACATACCGTCTCTTCTTACATGCCTGGCATCTGTGATGAGGCCTTAAGACTAAGGGCTGTTGAATAAATCTTTTCAAAAGAAACAGGTCATTTGCCTGACTCTGCTTACTGCTTAAAAATAACAGTATTCTGACAGGTGTTTCCAACCCAGTCCTTCCTGGATAGGTCCTGGTGACAACCAGCCTAATCTAGTAATATTTGCAATATAGACACAATGAAACCACAGCAAAAGAACCAAAAAAGTATCTGTATTCTATGTTAATATGAACAGGGCTTAAAGTGGATTGACGGCAGTTGGTCCCCTGTTTTAGGGGAGAGAAGAGCTTCACACCCTTTCTCCTCTTGCCCTCTGAGCAGGGAATGCGGCAACATAATTCTTTGACTGCCCTGAGCCCAATTTTTCTGTCAGGACTCCACCAGAAAGGATGCTGCTTTCTCAAGAGGGCAGAGATGGAGAACACAGTCTTTATTCCCTGCTGTCTCTGAAGAAGGCCTAATTTTGCACCAGGGAAATGCATGATGCACTACTTTTTTTCAAATGCAAGGTCAGCAGTTTTCTTATGTTGATATACTCGGGTTGAAAGAGCACCTTTCAGAAAAACTGCTGGTCCACTGCAGCTTACCACCATCCCTGTCAATGGGCTGGTACCTTCCCAGCATCAAATGTCCTGTAATATCAGAAACACAATGTTACTGTGTTTAAAACATGGGAGGGGAAGTCCTCCTATCCTAGATGCTGC